GCCATGGCCTACTTCAAGCCTGGCTACAGCTCACAGCTGGCTGGAGGGAGGACATGGGGCTGGAGACAGAGGCTTCGCTGACTTGGGTCAGTGACAAGATGGGGATGGGGATGGGGATGGGGATGGGGATGGGGACAGTCCAGTGCTTGGGTAAAGCAGATGAGCTCCAGCTGACGCTAGAGTGCTGCCCTGTGAGGAGGAAGTGAGGGGGGTGCTGCAAAGCCCCACAGGATGCCAGCAGAATGCAACCTAGCTGAAGTCGTGATGGAATCTGGTACAGACGTTCGATAGAGCACTCTAACCTAAAGTGCTTTAGTCTGATACCACATCCATCCAGGTCTATCTTAGATCAGGATCTGCCATTTTTAAAGTGCTCTATGCATGGTGAACTTATGGTTGGTTACAGCTGTAGAACACTTATTACATGATAAGTATAACATCTGTACCTGGCCAGGATTTTTTGGGTGATATATTTTATTGAATCAGCTGCATGGATAGGATAAAGTCAGACAATGAAAGGTATTTTTCATTAGGTCTGTGAAGGGACACATATACAATAATGGTTAAAAACAGTGGGAGAACTTTGAAATGGGAGAAGGGAGAATTTCCCTGGGATAGCCCTTTCAGGTTTCAGAAGATGTCACTGTGTGGTCTGGCTTGTTTTTTCTTTAGACTGTGGATTTTCCATAGGTACAGCCTACTCTTCACATAACCAATGTATTGGTTAAGCTATACTAAACCAATTAAGCAAGTCAGACATCACTAACAATTCACTCCCTAATCCCTTGCTGTTTCTATACACAGTACAAGAAAAGACATCTTGCTAGAAGATCTGAAGTCTGTGACCTTAGACACTTGGCTCTTCTGTCCAATATACATGTGTTAAACTGACCCAGCAGACAGGAAAAGCTATTAATTCTCTATATAGCAGTCGTTCTTAACCTTTTGACATTCAAGGGACCCCTCATTAGACCCAAGGCAGTCCTTTGAAAATGCTGGCTCTTAGATTTTACTTGGTTCTTGACTATGGAAAAATAATAGAGAAATTCTTCTGTTGCAAAGAACTCCAAAAGACCACAAATAGGTTAAAATATTTTTGATACTGTGAATTCCTTTTTGAAATCTCTAGGTTTATCTTGTGATCATCTGTAGGTGTTTGTGTGCCTAACAGCACTAATATTGAGTGGCAACCCACAGCACTCTTAAAAGGATCTCACAGCTCCCTGGTTGAGAATAACTGTGATACAGTTTCACAGTGAATTGCAGAAAAGTTACTTAGCACAGGAATAGATGTAATGTAACCCTGGAGTAAAAAGGGCTTGTTTCAAGTGGTACAAAGCAACCACAAAATAAAATTTAACCAGCCAATTGAATTAATATTTGGATGGTATAGAATCACAACATCCATTCTTAAATTGACTTTTTAGCTAAGTTGTTTTCTTTTTTAATTAGTTATAAAGATATAGCCAAGTCCTATACAGTGCTTTAAACTATTACATTTCTTTAGTACCCACTGCAAATAAAATAACTACTATGTTTGTTGTTCTTTCTTACCGGCAGTGACTTGAACTTCATCCTGGATGCTAGATGACTTATTCGTTGTGGTGGAAGCATTTCTTGCTGTTGGCATAGAGGTTGTTCCAGGAACTACACCAGTTAATAGAACCTCTACTCTCTCTTCTACTCTCTGTCTGGCTTGACAGCGTACAACAGCTATAGAAAAGAAGGATCCATTTTTATAAAATGTTGCTCTCCAATACCAGTTTCCTGATTTTAACAAAATATCTAAACATACGAGGCATCCTTAGAAAAAAAATTTGCAGGCATTCCCTGCCCTGCTAATTTGCAGCGCGAAGTGGGGGGGGTAGACTTGGAGAGGGGGGAGGCTTGTTAACCCCAGAAGATCCCAGGGTCAAAAAAACCCCACGCCTAAAAGAAGTGGGGTGGTGCACATGGTGGCAGTGCTCACCACCCAAAACTGGAGCCTGGCCAGCTGGAGAAATGCTCTGGCTGCCCGCCAGCCAGGCTTTCTGCTGCAGGATCACCATGGCTACAGGTCTTGGAGGCCCCCAGAACCCCAGGTAAGGCTGCTGGGCCCAGCACAGTTGCTGGCCCCAACCTCCACTACCCCACCCACAGTAATGTACTGCATGCCAGAGCACACATGACATGGGTGTTCCCTGGGCACAAGTAGCAGCAGCATACATTGTGCCACTGCTGTTTGTCCCCAAGGAAACTCACATCCCTGCTCATGGGGATGTGCCCTTAGGGGGGACTGAAGTTGTGAAAAGGGAAAACTCCTTTGCCTGACAGTTCAGTCATGCTCTCTTTAACCAAAGCCAGCATGAGATTGTTTTCCCTACAGTAAATTGAACAATTCCATTTTAGGCAATTTATTTTCAAAACCGATTCTCAAAACTACTTGAAATTTGATTGTCCTTTTTTGTTGCAATGATGGAATTCAGATATGTATTCACCTTCATTTGAAAATAAAAAAATACAGTATTGTTTTAAAATATGGATCTGAAAAAAGGAACTGAAGAAAAAAACCCCCGAGAGGCAGGTAATAAATGTGGAAAATTAAAAAAAAAAATGAATTTTTTTAGCTATTTGTAGAGAAGAACTCTGATTAGTTCTTGTTTGACTTAAGTTCCCCTAAAGCAGGGGCGGGCAATTATTTTGGGTGGAGGGCCGCTGAGTTTTGGCAAGCCATTGAGGGCCGCATGACAGGAAGCCCAGGGCAGATAAATATTAATTTTCTAAAATTTTAGGGGCCCCGCAGGTGGCACATTTTGCCCACCCCTGCCCAAAAGTATATGAGGCAAAGGAATTCTAATCTTCTGTGTGAAATTTTTAATTCTGCAAATGATTTTATCTTTATCTTCTACAAAATTTCATTTCGTTCAAAAAGTGTGTCTTTTTTCTGCATATTATATTCTGTCAGACTAAGCTTACTAATTATTAGGAATCTTTCAGCATTTGTCGGTCTGAATGATTAGCAAATTGGTCCAGAAGGTGAAGGACAAATGTATATACTTATATAAAAAAGGGAAAAAAGATTCAGAAATTTTCTGATGCATCAAAACCTCACAAACTTGAACAAAGGAGAGTTGATTATAATTTTTTTTTCATTCTTAAGACCTCAGTGTTCTTTCTGTCAAAATTATGCATTACTGCATACCGCAAAAATTATTTATTCTATGAGTATGAAAAGCTGAAGAGTATTTTGTATCTCTTCAGATGATGAACAGTCATAGATTTTTTTAAGTCAGAAGCAGTTGTGTAAGAGGCAAGCTGGTGTCCAGGGAAAACTCTGTAGGAGGCAGGCATGTGGTTCTGAAAGCAGGAAGCACAGGTTCTGGGGTGGGGGGGGGAGAGTGGAGGGGGTCCAGAGAGCAAAGGAGGGGCCATAGATCTGAGGGTGGGGATGGAGGGGTAGCATCCTAGTCAATTCCAGGAACTTCTAAAGCAATCCTAACTGAGTTACTGTTGCTACCACATGCTCTGCCTGCCCTGGAGCTCTTGCTCTTCAAGCAACAACTTCAGGGCACGGACTCCACGAAGATGGGGAGGGAGAGGTTGCCCCTCCTAACTTGATGCATGGGGCGGGTGCCCCTCTCACCCAACCCTAGTTATGCTACTTGTCAGAAAGAACCACTATGATTCTCTGACTTGACTTCCTGCCTAACACAGGCCATTCAATCATACTCAGGTCTCCTCCAACTGAGTCCACACCTTGGCTGTGAGCAACAGGATATCCTTTAAAAAGGAACTGAAACTTAATACAAAAAAAGACTTGGTGTGCTAGAGAATCTGCATCATCCCGTGGTAAGTTTTTTCAATATTTAATTACACTAAATATTAAAAATTTATGCTTGATTGCTGAATTTACCTCCCTTTAGCTCCTAGCTACTGGCTTTGGGGTTTTTTTGTTTACTAACTTAAACAGCCTTCTGTTATCTTCCTTCCACAAAAATAATTAGGTAATCGTGATTAAACCACTTTACCATATCTTAGACTCAGCTTCCTTAGTTTCATACCACAAGGCAAGTTTTCCAGACTGAATCATTCTTGCAGCTCCTTTCTGAACCCTTTTCCATTTTGCAAGTTTTTGGAGGCTAGACACAGATGCTAAATACAGCATTACAGAAATGTTCTCACTAATCCTATACAAAGGTAGTATGACATCCCTATTCCTCCTAAGTATCCTCCTCTACCCCAAAGGTCTCATTGGGTACCCTCTAAGCCTCTGTGTCGTACTGTTACATTCCATTGGATACTCATCACAAACCCCAATTCTTTTTACAATCCACTGATTTCCAAAGTACAGTGAGCATGTGACCTCCATGGTTTTCTCCTCAAATCTAGCTCTATTAAAAGGCATTTGGTTAAATTATGCCCAGCAAGGTTGTTTCCCCAGCCCTGGCCTGTCTTTAGTATTACTTGCCACTCAATTTTTAACTCCTCAGCAAACTTTATCAGAAATGATAAACTGTTTTCTTGTAGATAACTCACAGATATCGACTGCAATTGGGTCAAATCCAGATCCTGGCAGGATTCTTATAGACACATTTCCATTCAGTGATGGTTTCCCTCATAAAATGTAATGAGGTACTCTGTCAAATATTTTCCAGAAGTTTAAGTACACATAACAATGACAAAAGGGATTGTTTTAGACCCTTGACATAACAACGCTGAGGTTTTTACTAACTGTCTATAGCTTCTAAATATGTTAACAATAATTAGCCACATCAGAATAAAAGACATTTTTTTTTGTTTAAGTTACTGATTTAAAGAGAAAAAACAGATGTCTAGTAGATTACTTATCTTGGTCCCAAATCCATCAATCATATTTTTAATGGGATTTATTCAATGGGGTATATTTAATGGGACTTAAGCATGTACCTAAGTGCTTTGCTGAATTAGGACCTGTATTTAGAAGGCAAAAGTATAGTCTATTTATAACTCTAGCTCATGGAAGATTGCATAGCATAAAGATGATTGCTATCACCTTTAAATAGCATGTGTATTCAGAATTAATCGAAATATATTGGTGTGAACTACAAACATTTACTGAGCATAAACTACATGGCAATTGCACCACTCATAAATATTCTACACATTTTTATAGCAGGTTTTATGAATTTAAAATTAGTTAAGATGTGACAGCTTCAAATTACATACAGCAGTAATGTCTCTTAAGCAATTTATGGATGCTAACATTTTTTTATATATAATCACTAAACCTAGTGAAAACAATGGCCTAAGGAAGAGATGTTTATCGCAAAGTCTGCCAGTTACATATTGCATTACACATTTACAATAAGAACGCAAATATTCACATTAGTACACATAATTTTAATGCTAATGAGAATGGCTAAAACTGTCATGCTGGGCAAAGTTGAAAGATTTGATAATAATATTCTGCTTCACTCTTCTGGCATATTAAAGTGGAATTAGTGAAATGAAAGCTCTGATTAATATCACATCATTGGCATTTGTCTGCAAGTTAAAGGTCCTTAAACATATTACAATGATGACAATATAGATAATATATATCTGTACTGAGTTCTATAATTGCAGTCCTCAAGAAGTCTCTGAATTACCAATCCACACTAAGGCAGGCTATTGTTTTCATTCATCCAAAGAAGAGTCAGTATAGAATTGACTAGCAGATTTGGAAGTGCTCTTATCTACACATGTGCAGTGCTTTTCTGAAGACAGTTACTGTATAAATCAGTTCACAATGTTTATGTTATTTAACAGAATTTAAAGTAAACCATGTTAAGTTATACTGTGGCTAATAAATAGATGTATTTATTTTAGCAGTAGTCATTCACTATCTCTAAAATTAAATAAAACCCAAAATTCCACTATTATTCGATTATCATTTAGTACAAGTTAATTTTCTAGGAGCATTATGACAAATTAATGTTACTTTTAGTCTTCCATAAAAGGTTATAGGCATCAATTCCCATTATTTGATTCATACAATGGGCATTGGTATCAATATTCTCTTTGAGAGAGAGAGAGAGAGAGAGAGAGAGAGAGAGAGAGAGAGAGAGAGAGAGAGAGAGTGTGTGTGTGTGTGTAGGCATGCTTACAAGGGTGTTTTGGAATATGTAGGAGGTTGCAATCTACCCATCTGCCAGCTTTCTGCTTGATTCACTTAAATTCTCCAGACAGGGCTTAATTTGTACCTAGAAAGTGCAAAGGTATTAAGCTTTCCATTTGCTCTGTGGGAACATTTACTCATACTGAGAACAGAATACTGGATATGGGATCTGCTGTGTAAATTAAAGAAAGACATTTTCATCTAAAATCTCAAAAACAGTAGACATGAACAAAAAAGAGTCTTTCAAATGTGAGAGGAATAGTATATCAGGCTGATTCGATGACTATAAATTACAAGCTCCAAACTGGTGGTTCAGTTTTGTAGAGAATAAAGTAATTTATATTCTACTATGAAAAAAAAAGAAATCTCATATAGATTCCAAGGATAATTTTGTGTTTTTCCTTTGAAAGATTTTCACACATTTTCTGCATTCTCAAACTTGGTATTAAAATACTGAAGGCAACTACAAACCACACACACACACCCCTTTGAAGATCCCTAACAGAAGCATAAAAGGTCCATGTGTTGGAAGACCAAAACTGAGGTATCACAAGTTAAGTAACTTCTTTCCTTACAGTTATGTTTTTCTGCTTTTCAGGTATTACATACCTGGAACTAACTTCTGAGGTGGTGCTTCTGGGATTCCATTAATTGGGTAGATCCAGCGTATTCCATAGATTTCCCCATTCTCTGACAAAGTGACACTGTTTAGAAATTCAAGTAAAATATATAGGTAAGAAAAAACTGCTGAGACACTGGCACTGGTGATGCAAACTTAAACCTGTTGCCACAATTTCAAAAAATGATTTGTAATTTTAGGTACCTAACTTGGGATGCACTCAAGGTCCCTTCAGTTATCTAAGAAAAAGAGAAAATAATGAACTGCATTGGGAAGTGTAGGTAAGTTCAGTTGGATCAGTCTAACAGAACCCAAACTAAGTTCAGCTGCCTCAGAGATTAATTTAGATCAGTTGGCCATTTTTAGACTGATCTGTCTTGAACTTCTGTACAGGTTTCACTTAGATCAGCCTAACTACGAATCTAAGTATAAGGTCTCCACCAAGGCAAAAACTAAGTTAGGTTGGGTGTCCATTTTGAACACTTTCTAACCTTCCTAAATGTCGGTATGCACCCCTAATCACATACATATATGAAAAGGCTATTTTCAATATTTTCTTTTTTTCCCCTTTTTCTTAGATAACTGAAGGCACCTTGAATGCATCCCAAGTTAGGTACCAAAAGTTAGGTATCCCTGGTCTCACTGGATATCTTGAGTTCTTCAAAAAGGGCTCTTTCCATTTTGTGTTTCTATGCTCAAATTAACCTGGGCTTCAATATTCCATTACATCAAGGTAAAACGATTGTAGAAGTGGAAATGAAATGCACTGTGTCAAAATGGCAGCATGTTAAAACAACTTGCTTATTATCTCCTATTGCTGCTCACTAGCATTTGAGAACATTTCCTCTGATCTGCTCTTACATATTTCCTTCTATACTTCAAAACTACTGATTTTTCAGTAAGTTAGTA